GCGATTAGTCAGCTGCCCTGACAACATTCCACAAAAGGGCAAGTTCACGAGAGACGCCGCTCTGACGCACACTTTCGCTTCTTGATAAATGGAAAGAAAAAAGTGAAACCAGAAAATTACAGAAATTTTTGCGCATCACATTTGATCGGATGTGCCACGTACATTCTGCGAAATAAAGACAGTGTTAATGGACTATGGCTTTGAGCTCTGATAATAGATTTTTCCCCCCCAAAAAAAAACCTCGAAGAATTCGTTGCGGAAACGGAAGTACTAGAAAAATCGAAAGTTTTGTGCAAAGATGAATTAATAGAATGACGAAACAACTTCTCATGTCACGAATGCGACAGATGGATGCGCAACTAATTTCGCGCCCCATACGTTATATTTTGGCTGACTGGATAAATACTCTTGTACTCACATTTGAGTTTTATAAAGTAATCGTGCGCTTGAAGCAGTTACTGAACCAAAAAATAGAAAAAACTCTAAAAACATACCTTTTTGGCAATGGTATTCGAGAACGTCGATGATTATGATTCGAATTAGACAGACGCGCTGGTACCGATGAGCTTTTTGGAACTCGAGAATCGGCTGGTAGTCTGCACGGTCCACTCCACAGCATAGATTGGGTTTGATGCGGGTGAGAGCATTCACGAAATTCCAGCACTAAACAAAAAATTCGTTGACTAACAACTAGAAATCAAAAAGTTCATTGTAAGTGAAGACTTGAAAAATATTCGAAAATTACACTAAAAAGAGTCCAACCTGGAATAAGAGCGAGTGTATCAACCAATCGCCATAATAGAGTCCTATAAGCCGTTGGCGCATCCAGCAGAAAACTTCCGGGAGTGTATAGACGGCGAAGCACATTTTCTTTCAATACTACATAACAAAGCCAGCAATCCAGAGAATTTTCTCTGAAAAAAAGGATGATATTTTTGCATCCACAAATTTTTCCAAATAAAAAATCTCAGTCGTAAGGTGAGAAAAAACCATGCAGATGTTCAGAAGTGTTAACGTCGGACATTGTTGTCCACAGGCCAACCTCATGGTGGTCCTTTTATACTAATTTTGCCCATGTGGCGAGATGGTCAAAATTAACATAATTCGATAGTGGCGGAAAAACTTCCAATTAAATATTGCATTGGATTTTTTTTATCATAGTAGTTGTAACCATTTCCATTCACTTTCCCATCTTCACTTTAATACGAAAAAATCCTACCTGAATAGCTCTTCAAAGAACTGTTCTACGCGAGAATTTTCGGACTTCTCGTTTGAATCCAGTT